TTTGTCACTTAATTGGCTTGTTTGTGTTGTTTCAAATTTCTCTGTGTTTACCGTGCTGCAAAATTGACATCTTTCTATATTCTAGGGTGGAACTGATTGATTTTGCTTGACTGTCATTTTTCACTAAAACAGCTCTCAATCTGTTTGTTGTTCTGACTTCCAGGATTGGCTCACCCACCAGGATAGTGGTCCTCCAAAGACAGTCAGTGTTTTCCTCTTTCCGTCTTTTATCTACACATTAATATCATCAGCATTACGATGGAGTCATTTTGACCCTTTTCAGCCACGTCACCTGACGTAGGGTCTGCCATGGTGGATGTCAATAGTGAGTTACACGAATATTCAACGGAGGGGGAAAGTAGCGATTTAGATTGCTTTTCTTTATGCCAGGTTAGCCTGGCGTCCACTAGTTGGGGCAAATTGAGTGTGGTAGTTACAAAAGTTAGTTAGCTAGCTTGGGATCCAACCTTTACTTTCCCCATGATCCAGGGTTCATAGATTTGAACAAGTGGTTGATTTAGTCAGAATTCACCTGGGAGGATTTATACCGTAATATGATTACACTGGATGATTTACAAATTTACAAAAGTTAGGATCCCTACTAGTTTTTGTAACTGGCTGGGTCACCAGGACCAGGTGCTACACTCATATCTGGGAAACAGATATCTTATAATGGAGAAGCTCATCATTACATATAAATAATGTAATTTTAACACACCTAGTCCTACGTAGGAACAATATCATTAATATCTAGCATTTCACTATGGTGAACAGAAATGCACGTCCACCATAGTAAAATATAAGATTATCAATACTGAATAGATAATACTGTATATGCACATCACATTTGTCACTTGAGGTCCATCACGGTCGGTCCTTGGCTTGCTTATGAATTATATTAATGTTAAAAGTGTAAAAGCTGCAATTCCACAAATACTTTATGGGTTGCCACTACACACACACACACACACACACACACACACACACACACACACACACACACACACACACACACACACACACACACACACACACACACACACACACACACACACACACACACACACACACACACACACACACACACACACACATCTCTGATAGACAGAGTGGGCATTAGTCAAACCAAATATCAGATTACAAGTAATCAAAAAAATTCAATGAAAAGTTTATAAGTTAAGTAACCAGTAACCAAAAAAAATCTGTTATATTTTTTACTGTTTGTTCTTTGTATACATAAACTTTTACAAGAGTTACGTAGTAGAAAGACTTCCTCTAAACTTTTTTCAAACTGCACTGTCGCCTTGAAAGAGAGAGGAATTTGCGCCCTCCACTGGCAAAAGTAAGAACAACAGTCTGGTATTCAACAGCAAAAGAAGGGAAGATGGGGAGTTACCATTTAGTAGAGAATTGTTTAGCCTTTTTCCCAAAAAGAAGGTATAATCTTTCTTTTTGTCTTATTGGGAATATATAAGAAGAAGGAAGAGTAGAAGAAGAGGAACTGGATTTATAAAGTTAAATAGTTGCTTAGTAGAAAATTTAGAAACTAAATCCGTCTAACCAACGTTTTGTTGTCTTGAAAGAACGGGAAATTTGCGCCCTCTGCTGGCAAGAAATAGAACAACACTGGTTTCCAAAAGCACTTACAAAAAAGAAGGGAAGATGGAGAGTTGCTGCTCTAGTATCAGAAGGCTTTAAAAATGTATAGTATACTTTACTTTGACATAATCCACAGGAAATGTTGAGTTTGTATTGTTTGTTTGAACGCTGCCTGTAGTAGCAGCTTTAGTTCAGCAGAGGGCAGAATAATCCTTTATATCAAATACCAGAGGTATGAGTAATTTACTAATACGTTTAAAAGTAACAGGTAACTGAATAGAAAAACTTCTTTTTTACAGTTTGTTCTTTGTCAGAGGGTGGAAAAATATCCTTAATAACCTAGTGCAGTCTTATATAAATCGTGTATGTGAGTCATCACTTGTTGTGTTTTATTTATTTTGATGAGGGCATTGTTTTCTTTTCTGGTGAAATCACAGGTGAAACTGAAAATATGAGAATATTGTGCCAAAGGCAATTTTTTCAGTAATTCAAATGAGAAACTAACATATGACATAAGCAAAGCTAGATACAGTGGGGCAAAAAAGTATTTAGTCAGCCACCGATTGTGCAAGTTCTCCTGCTTAAAATGATGACAGAGGTCAGTAATTTACATCATAGGTACACTTCAACTGTGAGAGACAGAATGTGAAAAAAAATCCATGAATTCACATGGCAGGATTTTTAAAGAATTTATTTGTAAATCAGGGTGGAAAATAAGTATTTGGTCACTTCAAACAAGGAAAATCTCTGGCTCTCACAGACCTGTAACGTCTTCTTTAAGAAACTTTTCTGTCCTCCACTCGTTAACTGTATTAATGGCACCTGTTTGAACACATTATCTGTATAAAAGACACCTGTCCACAGCCTCAAACAGTCAGACTCCAAACTCCACTATGGCCAAGACCAAAGAGCTTTCGAAGGACACCAGGACGAAGAAGAAGAAGAAAATATCATTTCTATAGCGCCTCTCAAGAAAAAAATCACGAGGCGCTTCACAAAAACAAAAAAAAAAAGTTAAAATATAAAAAAGCATTTAGAAAATGTTTAAAAAATATTTAAAATGAGCAAAAATAGGCAATTGGGATTTAAAAGAAAAAATGTTAAGAAAGAGAGTGAATAGGAAAGAGGGAAATCAGTGGATCCTGAGGAAGGTGGAATAGGTGGGGAGAGCAGAATAAAGAGAGAGGGGTTGAAGAAGGTCATACAGAAGCCAGCTTGAACAAGTGAGTCTTCAGCTGCTTTTTGAAGGAGACCACTGATCTCAGACTCAGGGGGAGAGAGTTCCAGAGTCTGGGGGCCACAGCAGCAAATGATCTGTCAAGATCATTTGCTTTGAATTGTAGAATTGTAGACCTGCACCAGACTGGGAAGAGTGAATCTACAATAGGCAAGCAGCTTGGTGTGAAAAAATCAACTGTGGGAGCAATTGTCAGAAAATGGAAGACATACAAGACCACTGATAATCTCCCTCGATCTGGGGCTCCACGCAAGATCTCATCCCGTGGGGTCAAAATGATCATGAGAACGGTGAGCAAGAATCCCAGAACCACACGGGGGGACCTGGTGAATGACCTGCAGAGAGCTGGGACCACAGTAACAAAGGTCACCATCAGTAACACACTACAACAGCAGGGAATCAAATCCTGCAGTGCCAGACGTGTTCGCTGCTGAAGCCAGTGCATGTCCAGGCCCATCTGAAGTTTGCCAGAGAGCACATGGATGATACAGCAGAGGATTGGGAGAATGCCATGTGGTCAGATGAAACCAAAGTAGAACTTTTTGGTATAAACTCAACTCGTCGTGTTTGGAGGAAGAAGAATACTGAGTTGCATCCCAAGAACACCATACCTACTGTGAAGCATGGGGGTGGGAACATCATGCTTTGGGGCTGTTTTTCTGCTAAGGGGACAGGACGACTGATCCGTGTTAAGGACAGAATGAATGGGGCCATGTATCGTGAGATTCTGAGCCAAAACCTCCTTCCATCAGTGAGAGCTTTGAAGATGAAACGTGGCTGGGTCTTCCAACACGACAATGATCCCAAACACACCGCCCGGGCAACAAAGGAGTGGCTCCGTAAGAAGCATTTGAAAGTCCTGGAGTGGCCTAGCCAGTCTCCAGACCTCAACCCCATAGAAAATCTGTGGAGGGAGTTGAAAGTCCGTGTTGCTCAGCGACAGCCCCAAAACATCACTGCTCTCGAGAAGATCTGCATGGAGGAATGGGCCAAAATACCAGCTACTGTGTGTGCAAACCTGATAAAGACCTATAGTAATCGTTTGACCTCTGTTATTGCCAACAAAGGTTATGTTACAAAGTATTGAGTTGAATTTTTGTTATTGACCAAATACTTATTGTCCACCATGATTTACAAATAAATTCTTTAAAAGTTCTGCCATGAGAATTCATGGATTTTTTCACATTCTGTCTCTCACAGTTGAAGTGTACCTATGATGTAAATTACTGACCTCTGTCATCATTTTAAGCAGGAGAACTTGCACAATCGGTGGCTGACTAAATACTTTTTTGCCCCACTGTATTTCAAGTATTTATTATAGTTGGGATGATTATGGCTTACATGAAAACCACATTTAAATGTGACATGAAATCGATAAAACTAGAATTTGAAATAGAGAAATGTCAGACATATGAAAAAGTATAATCATATACTCAGTACTTGGTTTGGGTCCTTTTGCTTTACTGAATTAAATGAACCTCAGCATGATGTTCTAGTTTTTCGGTTTCACTTGTAGATGGGATTTATGACTCTTTTTGGGGATATGGATTGAGGGTTCTTGGGGTTAGGCATACTCAACAGCAGCATTCTCTGGACAACCCGCTCTACCTCCTGAGCTACTGTTGCCCACCAATGTATTTAAGTAAGTTTAATGTTTGTGCTGGAGCAGGGAAACAACATAAACATGATGGATATGGAATATCAAAGACCAGGGTCAGAGGGCTGGTGTAAAAAAAGACTTTGTTGTTTTTCCTTCGATAGCTGGTGGGCTGGTCTCGGCCTCTTGTCCCAGTCCAGCTCTGCCAAAAACTAATTTGCAAACCCAGTTTTTGGTTGTTGGTGTTTTGCATTGATATAGAATTTTAAGATTGTTCTAAGAATCTTGCAAGGATTCAGTAAAATAACTTAAAAATTAAAATAAAATAAAATAAACTTTCAATCCAGCTGTCGTATTTTACACTGAACCAGTAGATGGCAGCATCAGCTCACTGGAGTGAATCACATCCCAAAAAGCTACTTTTGAATTAAATTTGATTTAAAAAAACTTTTTTTTAAATTATATTTTATGCAAACTGAAACCAACTACATCTAGGTTATTTACTCAAACAAATAAATGAGCTGCCAGATGTAATAAATTACATTTTCGGAATTACCACCACATAAAAAAGAAAAAAGATTGCATTTATTTAGATATAAAAGACAGATGCATGTTTGTACACTTTATACAACGTTCAGTGACAGTAATACATGTCTGCTCTGCTATTATATCAATGTAAACTTTTCCTGCTTGGGGATTTCTTTGAGTTTTTATGATGAGGCAGAAAACTCCAAAGAAACAGACATCTTTTCCCTTCGACTAAATACAAAACACTGATAAAAACTGGACAAGAAACACGTAGTCATTCTGCTGAAGCAAGAAGACACAATACAAGACAAAAAGGTGTTTTGGAGTTAATTATAATTTAGTGCAGTTTGTTTCACCTCCTCCCTTCTTTACATTCATCCATACACTAGGGGCAGCACTGCTTCAGTTCACTGCAGTTTTAGGTCAGAAAACAAGTTGCTCAATGACATTTTCTTGCATATTAAAAACAAAACTTGCTGCTAGTAAAAGAGCTGTGACATCTTCTGGTTTATCTCACTTTATAAATTATCCAGCTGAGGGCAACTATACAACAACCATCATACCACTGAAAACAGATCACATGGGATTACTATTGACTTTTCTAGCCTACCTGTTGGAATTTTACATTCTAATTTATTTCATTATATTTATATTTTAACTATCATGACATAGCATCTGTGAAAAAGCATAATAAAACATGTTTTTTGGGTAAGCACCTTCCTCAGTAAAAACTGGGGCGAATAGGAATCCATTCAAGATGGCAGCCCACTGCTACGCCAGCTCCATTAGGCAGCAACAGTCCACAAGGCGTCTACGGCCCAATCCCAATACTTGCACTGCACCCTACGCCCTTCTGTGAAGTGCACTCAAGAGGTGTGCAATAAGGCTTCCGGTGCGTAGTACACAACTGTGCCAAATTGGGATGGGTAGCATTGTGTCTTTGAGCGTAACGAATGCCGGTCGCTGTTCGTGCTACTTTTAGAAAAGTCTATTAACAACTTTCAAACAATTATTCATCCAAATTTAAATTAATTGCTGTCCACTATGACTAAATCATTCAGAGCGTGAATAAATGTCATTAATGGTCCTAAAATTTACTTTTGTTTGAAAATACATATTTTCAAGAAATGTCAATTGAGCCATTGTTCCACCTTCTCAAACTTCCCACTCAGCAATGGATTGTGGGTAATACACTTGCCTGAAATTCGTATCAGTGCAGACTTGGGCGAAGTGCAAATCAAGGGTGCAAAAGGGGCGTGGTTACCTCCCACACTTGAAAATCGGGATACCCTACACCACAAGTACTCATTTCTGGGCCTGGAGGGCCAGTATCCAGCACATTTTAGTGGTTTCTCTGCTCCAACACACCTGATTCAGTGGCTGAATCACCTGTGCAGCAGCTCATCAGGCTCTGCAGAAGCGTTGAAACAGAGTTAAAGCTAAACGTGCTGGATGCCAGCCTTGACCTTCACACTTGCACCTTTGGCCGGGTGGAAGTGGGAGTGTTGGGACTGGGCCTACGTATATGATGTCCGTTATAAATGATGTTGTAGCCGTTAGCTTAGCATATTGGCTGAAAACTCAACTTTACCATAGTTTTTTATAGTATTCTGTAGACTGCAGTATAGAATGATCACACCATCACAAGCCAATTTTAGTGGATCTTTTTCTTTAGGGTTTGTTTTGTTTGGTATGAACTAAGCTCTAGAGAAATAAGGACTGAACATTATTGATCATTTCATGGTTTCAGGGTTTAGTTTATGTCGGAGTTGGTCCTTTTCCAGTGAGACACCCCCCCCCCCCCAAAAAAAAAAAAGATTAATTCTTGTGTCCAATAATCTGGTGTCCATTGAAGCTGCATTGGGAATATATAGCTAATTCTATCCAGATCACAAATGCTGTGGTCATTTCTGAATATAAAATTAGCTGATATTTACACTTGTATTGGTGCCAGATGTCCTGCTTTGGTTATTCATTGTACTTGGTTATTCTGTTCCTCCACTTATTAACCCTCCCACTGTCCTAATGGGTGACCCCGCGAGGAAAGTAGACCATTGAGCAGGATTGATGGTTTATCCCTTGAGGTCCATGTGGCAGGGGTGAGGAGTAAGCACCACCTCACCCCTGCCACATGGACCTCAAGGGATAAACCATCAATCCTGCTCAATGGTCTACTTTCCTCGCGGGGTCACCCATTAGGACAGTGGGAGGGTTGAAGCTACTGGTAAAAAGTGAGTTCTTCCTGAAACATGCTGCGTGTGGTACAATAGATGGGTGACACACATCCTTTGTGCTGCATGTTCAGTGCTTGTGGAAGGGTCTCAGGTTTCCATCACGAGTCCAAGTAGATGGAAAATATCTGACTGAGGCAGCGGTCGACTCCTCCGGTCTGAAAGAGGAAGCTGTCCTCGGGGCAGGGGGACGAGGAGCAACCGTCCTCTGCTTGGCCCTGAAGCTCCTGCAGCAGGTCGAAACCTGGGATGAGGAGAACAGGAAACCTGATGTGATTGATAAGCAGATTGTAAATTTCCCAAATGTTTCAGCATGAGGTGTAAGTCACCTGTTGAGAGAGGAACGGACGGGTTTGGGAAGTAGCTGGTTGGTTCAAAGCCTTCATTACTGACTGGAGCAACCACCTCTCCATACAAACAGTCTTAAAGAGCCACAGAGGAAATTATAATAACTAAAAGCATTAGAATTGGGACATGTTGCACAGACTGCTGCTACCTTGTTGCTGCTGCTGTAGGAGCACCGACTGCTGGAGGTTGTAGGGTTTCTGGAATCCTGTCAGCTGAACGTTCCCTCTCTCTGACTCAAACAGGGACGATGGTCTGTGCCTGCTGATATATTGAGTTTTCAGTATTCCTGCATTTATGCTGCTTGCTTAAATACTTGATTACAGGTAAAAATAACAAAGGATTCCTAAAAAGGTTTTCCAGAATAACAGCAGATTTTCACACAACACCCAAGTGATGAAATTCCAAAAACTCCAGCAGAAATAACAGTTTCAAGTTTATAATGTGTTAATAGTACAATAATATATATTATTACTTCATTTCAGCTGACAAATCATTTAGTGACGACTGAAATACAAACTTAAACATGCAAGATTAAAATGTTTTTATAGTCAGAAACTAAAGTACTAAAAGTAATCAAGTAAAGTTAAACTAAGATAAAGAAAATATGTATATAATTTATCAACAAGAATGCCAATAATGACTCCGTTTATGATAATTTTTCCAACTAACTAATTCAATTAATCAATTGAATTGCTTTTATTTTCGATTTATTCATCATGTTTCACATTTCTCATGTACCATGTTCAGCGCCTTGGGCTTCCCGACAGGGTTTGATTGATAATTAAAATATTCCAATACAATATATGATGTTTGAATTTGAAAAAGAAAAGAATGTTATAAGATTGCAATTTATGAATCTACAGTCCATTTTTCTGATTTGAACTGGATTTGACCAAAAAACGTCTGCAGAGTTTCCAAAATATAGCTTCTGCTGCTGAAACAGGTGATTCAGGAAGGAATCTACAACATGTAGGATGGTACACTGTAAGAAATTAAATGTTGATTTAATTAACCAAGTTGTGTTTAATTAACCTATGATTAAATGTAGAGTAATTTACATTTACCTTTAAAATAGCAATGCATATTACTCTTTACATTTAATGGAACCAAATGACATAACGTGGTTAAGTTGATTCAACATTTTATTTTTACAATGTAGTTATAACTTTCACACAGATGCATCTAAAAGGCCAAACTTACATTTTTAATGTAGAAATACATTTATCTTAGCCGTTAGCTGTTGAAAGGGCCTCTCTTATGGAAATGACCACAAACTAGCATGATGGCATGTGTTTTTATGGATAAATACCACATTACAAAAAACAGATGCTTATAAATGTAACTCATCTTACCTTGGTGTTAGCTTCTTACTATTCAAACCTTAGAGGTTTTCTGATGGTAACTCAAGTATCAATAAAAAAAATCCCTTACAATTTCCAATCCCTTAGATATTGTGTAAAAGTGCACCGCTTTAACTTCGTCACTCTTGGTTTTCTCAGTTTCATTTTCAGGTTTTTTACCCAGAATCCTCACAAAACCATTAATCATCTCTTTTTGTTTAAAAAAAACTTCTCATCTAAACAGTGCAGTTTAAATGTTAAGAAAAAAGTGCTTTTCCCCTTCAGGGGGTGTAATGTAGACACCCCCTGATGATTTGTGCAGAACTGTATCCGTCGCTGCAGGGCAGGAATGTGCTGAGTCTGCACAAACACTCTGACTCAACATGGAAACAAATGAGTCAGTGCAGCCAAGTCGACAAGAAGGAAGAAAGACAGCTGAACCTCTCAAGAGGAGATATGCAGCTGAACCCCACCGTTATGGTATTTGACTCCCTCCACTCTTCTTCCTTCAAAGAGCTCTCTCTTGGCATTTCACGAGTCTTTGGGGCTTTCCTGGATGATGTTCTGTAGCACATTGGTCCCCAGAGCCAAGTGGCCTTGGTTTGTACTGGAAGGGTTTTAGTGGGCTTCATAAACAAGCCGGCCCTCGTCAGAGACACCCGTGGCCCCTGGCCCAATTGAAGGCTATATTTGCATCTGACCAACTATGTAAAAAAAAAAAAAAAAAAAGAAAATGTTTGGATATTTCTTTTCATATCTATCATTCATCATCCCCAGGTCCCTTTACTACCCATTTCCCATGTCAAATTCTATTACATTTAATTTAACAGTCTCCGCTTTCAGTGGAGAAACACAATAAAAGCCTAAATTAATCAGAAGGGCTTTTCTGAAACCCAAACTGATATGAATTACAGATGGCTGTGGTTTGCTTGAGGTAATAAAGACCAGGCTTTGTATAGGATTATGTAAACAAAGCAAGCTTTGATATAGTGCAACTGTAAAATGTGCAGCGATGACTGCGAGCCCCAAAAATCCGACACATCTCCGGATTCCATCGGTGGGGCCCCTTGAACATCAGCTCTGACCTTAGCTAGAGGTGTCTGCTCCACAGCTCACATTCCTGCTACGCTGCAGCGGCATAGCTGGAATGTTTGGAGCCGTCCTGGACTGATCCGTCGTTTTGTGGCCACTGCTCCCAAACCGCTATGATGCATAAGAGCAGCAAGGTATGAGCCCTACGCCTGAGGGAGCAGCTGTCAGCAGGAGCTCAGGAAAATGTTCCTCTCATCATATTTGTTAACCACCAGTAACTCGCTTTCTCTTCTGAAGCTAGCTCTTTATCTAGAACAAAGGAATGCTTCTAGTTTGCCAAACTGACTTAATTAACAGCTAATAAGGAATAAAAATCTGAATTTTAAGCTAACTTCGACTCTTTTTGGACAAACAAATGCAAGTGGACCAAAATAAGGACTCAATCTAATCAAGAGATGCTTTTTGTTTGGTAGAAAAGTGGGAAAGGTTAATACGATACCCCTGAAAACAAATCTCCTTTTGCAGAAGGTATGCACATACCTTTGAGGACAGAACAACTAGCTTCGCTGCAGTTGTTAAAAAGAAAAATGTGGACACATTTTATAATCAGTGTCCAGGAAAACCACAAACTTGAACATCTAAAGTTTCTAAAAGAACAAAGTCAGCAAAGTTGTTTTCATATATGAAGCACATTTATTGTTAGTCTAAAAATGCTGTAAGAAAAACATAAGGCAAATCCCTTTATTATTTTATCGTAACACCCAACAGTGCTTCTCTACAGTGACCTGGACAGGCATATTTCAGCTTCCATTGAGGTTCTCTGCAAAAATAGAATAAAACGTATGAGACGACACCACCAGACCACGTTTTAAATATAAAGATTAATTACAGAAAATTGTTGTTTCCACACAGCATTTTAAAGCTGTTAAGAACATCTCAATTAATTTCATATAAATATAAATTTCTGCTACAGACTGTGGCTTATTTTAGTCTGATGAGTCATTTTGTTATATATATTATTTTGTATTTAAAAATTTCTGTTTTAATCTTAATTAGGACAGCAGTAGCTCAGGAGGTAGAGCGGGTTGTTTAGTAACCAGAAGGTTGCAGGTTCAATCCCAGCTCCCACCATGCTGCTGTTGTGTCCTTGGGCAAGAAACTTAAAACCCCCTCGCCTACTGGTGGTGGTCGGAGGGACTGGTGGCACTTCTCACACCGGCCTTCTTGTCCCAGTTACATCAGGCCAGAAACAGGCTACATCCATTAAACAGGGTCGCTCAGAAGACCCACAGACGTTCTATCTCAGACTTTTCAAAGCTTATTTCGGATCCTGAAATGAACCGGATATGGACGAAGACACAGACTTTAAAGAAGTTTTCCTTGAGTACTTACATCCTCATTACAGTCAACCTATGAGTACAGTAAACCATACCCATGGTAAATGGTTCAACCTCCATGGAAGCCCTCAGACAAATGGTGGTTAATGTATTTAGGAGGGCAAAAACATTCACTGTTGGGTCCTCCGACAACACCGCTGTTCTGGCCGTGGAAGCTGCTTCACCCATGCTGTGACTGGAGGGTGCGCCTGGATCTGTGGCTCACCACTCAGCCTGGGACAAACTCGCAGGCTTATAAGCCACCTAGGTCTCAAAATTTCACCAAAGCTCGGGGTCCCGCACCATCAGGTGATGGGAACCAAAAGTCCCCAAGTCCTGGATGTGGGCTGTTCCAAGTTTCCTTGAAGAAAGGCCTTGCAACTGTCAGTCTTTTGTCTGTCAAGTGATAGAGTCACAATGCTGTTACTCAATCTGAGGCTAGATGTCCAAATATCAGGAAATAAGACTCCTGCTGTGTTAAGCACTCCTCTGCTGTCGCAGACTTGTCCCTGCTGAGCCTGGCGTTTGTGGGTGTTTTTCTACTGTGAGTGCGGCTTGCAAGGGATTCACTCCTACTAGAGAAAACTGCAAATGCATTAAACAAACATGTGAACCACACCTTTAAATCAAAAATCCAAAATTAAGGGGCATCGAGAAGTTGTTGGTTAAGGAACCCAGAGTCTGGCTATTGTCCAAATATTAACCAGAATGAGTCTGGTCTGCAGAGTTTAAAATCCTGCTATTTTCATTACACAAGATAAGAACCTAAAAATTATAAAAGAAAAGGCCAATTAATTACTTCAAAAGCTTCTTAAAGTCGGATTTGTGAAAAAAAAAATTTAAATTTGCATGAATGACAAACTTTTCACTTGTATGGTCCAGTGTCCCTCTGAGTTTCTGCTAAATAAAACTTCAGTACTCATCTTGTCTTTTTTATTTTTAGTAAAAGCATTTCTGTACGTGAGCTATCCCGGTCTTCGAGCCCGTTTCTGATGGTTTAGCTCCATCCCACCCTTTCCTTCGATCACAAACAAGCACACATCTCAAATCCCGGCTGAAGGATTGGGCTCGGAGCTGCTGCCGAGTCCTGTGAGTATTTAAAAAGGAGGTCAGAATGACTCGAACCAGCCAGAGTAAACACTCGCCTGGTTGTGAAGTCAGAGCGTGATGCTGACTGGGCCGTGAAGCAAAGATGATTTACATCCACGAGTTTAATGTCTCGCTAAGTTATTTGGTGGGAAAACAAGTGTTTGGATGGTGTTGGATTTGGCAGGTCTTGGAGTTCTGTGGGCACCAGCTCCAGTTTCTAAAGAGACATCAATGACCTAAAACTTCATTGAAGCTCGTCTCAGGTCCTCTACGCTGTGTTTAAGGTCACTTTGCACAACTTTTGTTTTAATCATGTTTAGATTCTCACTGAGTTTTCAGCTTGGCTCCGGTCTCTACTTTAAACTAAACAAGATGCTCTTATATCTTTCAGGAAGTCTTACGTTGTTCTGCAACGTGCCACAAGGCAGTTAGACCAAATAAAAATAACTTGCTGCCGGTTAGGGGTCAGGGGTCAACAAACCTTAGAGTTATTCATTTTCTGCTATATAAAAGTTACATTTAGGTTGTAGATGATTTAAATAACCACTTTTTGTTATTTATTGTGCAAAAAATGACTTTTATCTTATTTCTTTGCACTGGTGTACACTGAAGTTTTGCTATTACTAAAAATTTGTCTTTGAGTTGAGTTTCCTCTGCTTGTGATGCAGAGGAAACCTCTCGGACCTTCTTAAAACTAATTCAAATGTACTAATCTAGAATTTATTAGGCAGATATGACGTCAGACCTGACTTAACCGTGCACCAGGGGCAGGTCAGAAAACCAGAATTCGCTGATTGTTGCATTTTGAAAAACTGTTTAGTCGTGTGTGTGCGTGTGTGTGTGTGTGTCTGACTAAATAGACAAAAAAATGACGGAAATGAAAATGAAATGTTTATTTCCGCAGCTATCACAGTCTTTAAGTGAAATTTCCATATTAATTTGTAAGTTCTGACAAATGAGAACAAAAGTACGGTGGTCCAGAGGCTTAATCCTAATACAAAAGCTGCAACACAACGACAACACAGACAATGGAAGCGATACTAAAACGAAAGTTGAGAAAGGCGAGGTGTGTTCAGGACCGCGGCGTCATGGTGGAGTTGTGAGTCGACTGTTCACATGGATTACATAAAATACACTTTTGCTGAATCTTTTTTCCAACAACAAAGAAGGTATTTCATTCTAACATAAATAGTTTTTAAAGGGAAAAGTTTCATAAGGATAGTAAATGATGTTGGATCTGACCTTGTAGGTTTCTGATTAAGAAACATTTTAAATAGCGAAAATAATGAACAAATGCATGATATTGGCATGTTATTAGACAAGGGTTTGAAACTTTAAAAGGCAAATAAAATGAACAAAAACATGTAGACCTGTCTTAGCTGATCCATCACAAAATCATTATATAGGCAAAAATCAAAGGGAGACTAGGCAGTTTTGGCTTGCTTTTAGCACTCACTAGTATGCTTTAGTCAAAGCAAAAGTGAAACTTATCTCCTTGCTGCACGTTGGTCTTTAACACTTTAATCTAACAGCTGAAATGTCTCCTCAGACTTCATTAGTTTCTACAGGAGTGATTCATCACTAAGGTAAACAAACCAGCTGGGAAATGTGCTGCAGGCTAACTGCAGCATCAGGCATGTCAGCTTCACTTTTACCAAGTCCAATAGGGACCAGGCCGGCACTCTGAAGTTGCAAGCGTGATATTCAGGCCACAGAGAGGAGTGGGTGTCAGAGTGAAATCAACCCTGTAAAGGGTTATTTTTGCACATACTGACTCAAGAAAATGATTTAAAAATATGAAAAAGTAGCATAGAATGGCTTTAAGGCCATTTTTGATCCCAATGCTTCATTTTGTTGTTGCCTTTTCTAATTAAACCTAATCTTAAACATCCCATCTTCTCACATGAACCTTGTTAAAATTAAAGTGTGCAAATACAAGAAAATGTCATACATTTTATGTTTAATAAATCATGCAAATGTAATCAAACTTTACAAGCTTTTGTTTTATTAGACAGGCGGCCTTCCTTATTGCTGGTGAAGCTATAAAAGTAAGTTTACGTGCAAACGCTCAGCGACCAAAGAGCCGAGGCTTCGATGTCCACAAACCGAAGCCCCGAAGGCTTTCAGCTGCTTCATTTTAGTCTCACTTCTACTTTTATTCTAAGCTAGACAGCATTTGTCTCAGTTTACAGCACACATGAGTTCTGCGGCCTACAACTACCTAATCAGTGCAACCACAAAGCCATAATTCTATCTTTGGTGATAATGTCTTTGGCTTATTCACAAATTCATGAACTCATTTTCTTCTGTCTGTTTTGGAGGATTTCTGTAGGAAAATAAGCGCCTGCAGCTTTTCATCACATAAAAAGGAGGAATTGATGATTTCCAACAGTAAAATGGGGAGAATATGTAAAAAGTGTTTAATTTCCCTCAGAAAAAGACTAAAGTTGCAACTATTTGGCGGAAAAAATAAATCAGAAAAAGGGAAAGTTTCATGAGTGAGAGTTGAAACGGTGGTCTGTTCCTTTAAACTGTTTTATCTTGAGTACCAAAACTGCCAAAACAATATCTTATTCAGCTCAATTTGATCAGGTTAGCAGCAGAAATCCCTGCAGAAACTTCAAACTGCCAGAAGCCACAAGAGGTAAAATTGGATGAACTGAAGATTTAAGTTTGCTTCTGGGAACATAATTGAGTGTCATTAAAGTGCTCTGCTTCTCTTAGAGAAACATGAGCCTAAAAAATATGGCAGAGGGTGAGTGAATGTAAAAAAAAAACCTTTAATATCTACCTGGGCCAAAAAGCCCTCGAGGAAAATAGATACTCTACTTTTAACCCTCCCACTGTCCTAATGGGTGTGACCCCGCGAGGAAAGTTGACCATGGAGCAGGGTTGATGGTTTATCACTTGGGTCCATGTGGCAGGGGTGAGGAGTGAGCACTACCTCACCCCTGCCACATGGACCTCAAAGGATAAACCATCAACCCTGCTCCATGGTCAACTTTCCTCGCGGGATCACCCATAAAGACAGTGGGAGGGTTAACTGCTTCCATTACTGCCCAATAAAGCTCTCAGGGTCTACAAACAAGTTTAAATCTGGGGAATTGTTCAATGTGGACGTAACTTGTTTTACTCGTTCAGTTAGACTCACCTGTTCCTCATGCTGCTGCCGCTCGTCAGGGAAGACACCGGACTTTTGGCGTCAAAGTGTCCCTCAGGGCCTGGAAAACAGGAGCGAACGTCTCCGGATGGGGGCAGAAACTCTGGATTTCCCCTGCTGTTGAGGGTCGAGCTGCTGCTCGAGTACACACCTGAAACACAGATCAGTGATTTCACCTAACCAAAATTCTCTTGTGATATTAAAAAAAATAAAAATAAAAATCACAGCTGAAACTGCTAATCCAACATATTTCACCACCAGCAACCAAGCTGCATGTTGGAAGTGATATTGGTTTAATATTTAGGGTAATTGTGTCCAACTTTCTGACACAGATGCAAATTCACAACAGTTTCTCAACTGCGAGAGATGAAAATCAGTAAAGAATTAAGCAGGCGAGGCCAACAATCATCTCCTTTCTCAACTGATATATGAAACAATGTTTTAGAAAGTGCATTTTAACTGAACCACATATTGCCCAATGTTAATAAAACAACTATAAAATAATCAGTTTTACTTTATTTTGTAAAATTATAGCACCTTCTTAAGTATCTACAACCCTCCAAGGCGCTTCACAACATAATCAGTCACGCACCCGCCACATACACATAACCACACTGGTGCCACCGGTCCCTCCGACCACCACCACCAGCAGGCGAGGCGAGTTAAGTGAAGGACACAACAGCAGCATTCTCTGGCGGGAGGCGAGATTGAAATAAAAAAACAAAAAACAATCTTTGCGTGTCACGTTATGAAGGAGGTTTGGACCCAAATGCAGGAACCCGGGACAACTCAGCGAGGAGTGATTGCAAAAATCAGAATCTTTATTTCAGGAGGAGCTGAGCAGGTCAAAAAGGGCAAAATCCAAAATGACTCGGTAAGAACAAAGGAAGTAAACTAGAGATCATAACTTACTGAATCAACACAAGTGCACAGGAGGAACAAGTAACGCCGACAATGGGCCGACAATGGACCAACAAACACAGAGACAAGACAGGGCTTTATACACAGAGGGAAGCAATCAGGCAAACAGGTAGCAGGTGTGTGGGGAGTGACAGCTGAAGGGAGGCAGGAGAGACTAAGTGGGGAAGGAACATAAAATACTAAAGGGGGGAAACTAAGCTGAATATAGGAGAAACCTGAAACTAGAGACAAGAACCAAAAGGGGGGATCTAATACTGAGGAACTTAACAATAATGGATATGGGAAATCTAAATATGGAGTGAAGTGACTAGAAGGGAAGCGGAGGACACCTGGAAGGGGCTGGGGACCACAGGGACACATGGCATAATGCCTCTCAAGACAAAAGTTATGAGCCGTTTTCCCCAAAAAATTTAAAAAAGAAATACATTTTTAAAAATTATCATAAAAATGAGGAAAATAAATACAAAATTGTGATAAAAATGTGAGGAAAGAGAGAGAGGAAAAAAGAGGGCAATCAGTGGATCCCGGAAAAGGCGGAACTGGTAAAAAGAGCAGAGTAAGGAAATGGTGGTGGTCACGTAAAAGCCCACCTGAACAGGAGAGTTTTCAGCTGCTTTTTAAAGGAGACCACTGAGTCCGCTGATCTCAGGGGGACCTTCCAATTAATGGAAAACCCACCATCTCCTGAGCTGAAGACGAACAAAACTGGCCCTTTCTACCTGCAGATCCTCCACCAGGCGGCAGTATAGACTTATAGAACTGGATTTGGAAGGTTTATGATGAAGGTGCTGGTCCTGACACTCCATCCAGATGCTTAAGAGCAGAAGTAGTTTGGTGCCAATTAACAATAATAGTCTATGATTGTTTAATGTGGCAAATTTGTATGTTTTTAAAAAGATTATTGATTCAAAAAGGGTCAAAGAAGCCTCAGTTTATGCTTTAGACCTAAAAACTGTTAATTAAAAAAGTGTTAATTAACATTTAATATATTTATTGATTGTGTTTATGAAAAAAGTATTTGAAGTGAAACGAGGGGACACAATATCTAAACCTTGATGCTAATGCATATAGCATAAAGTAATAAAACTTTAACTATAAAATCATAAATTATGAAGCAGTAGCTAGACAGTGAATTAAAAGTAATCTTATCATTTAAAACACATTTTAGATCTACAACCAACTATTTTTAGACAAAAGTAAAATAAAATTTAAATACCATTTTATTTATCTTTTGATCTCTCTTTGGGGTTTTAGACACCAAATAACATGAGAGGAGAATTTTTTTTATACGAAATACAGTGGGGCAAAAAAGTATTTAGTCAGCCACCGATTGTGCAAGTTCTCCCACTTAAAATGATGACAGGGGTCAGTAATTTTCATCATAGGTACACTTCAACTGTGAGAGACAGAATGTGAAAAAAAATCCATGAATTCACATGGCAGGATTTTTAAAGAATTTATTTGTAAATCAGGGTGTAAAATAAGTATTTGGTCAATAACAAAAATTCAACTAAATACTTTGTAACATAACCTTTGTTGGCAATAACAGAGGTCAAACGATTACTATAGGTCTTTACCAGGTTTGCACACACAGTAGCTGGTATTTTGGCCCATTCTTCCATGCAGATCTTCTCGAGAGCAGTGATGTTTTGGGGCTGTTGCCGAGCAACACGGACTTTCAACTCCCTCCACAGATTTTCTATGGGGTTGAGGTCTGGAGACTGGCTAGGCCACTCCAGGACTTTCAAATGCTTCTTACGGAGCCACTCCTTTGTTGCCCGGGCAGTGTGTTTGGGATCATTGTCGTGTTGGAAGACCCAGCCACGTTTCATCTTCAAAGCTCTCACTGATGGAAGGAGGTTTTGGCTCAGAATCTCACGATACATGGCCCCATTCATTCTGTCCTTAACACGGATCAGTCGTCCTGTCCCCTTAGCAGAAAAACAGCCCCAAAGCATGATGTTCCCACCCCCATGCTTCACAGTAGGTATGGTGTTCTTGGGATGCAACTCAGTATTCTTCTTCCTCCAAACACGACGAGTTGAGCTTATACCAAAAAGTTCTACTTTGGTTTCATCTGACCACATGACATTCTCCCAATCCTCTGCTGTATCATCCATGTGCTCTCTGGCGAACTTCAGACGGGCCTGGACATGCACTGGCTTCAGCAGCGGAACACGTCTGGCACTGCAGGATTTGATTCCCTGCCGTTGTAGTGTGTTACTGATGGTGACCTTTGTTACTGTGGTCCCAGCTCTCTGCAGGTCATTCACCAGGTCCCCCCGTGTGGTTCTGGGATTCTTGCTCACTGTTCTCATGATCATTTTGACCCCACGGGATGAGATCTTGCGTGGAGCCCCAGATCGAGGGAGATTATCAGTGGTCTTGTATGTCTTCCATTTTCTGATAATTGCTCCCACAGTTGATTTTTTCACACCAAGCTGCTTGCCTATTGTAGATTCACTCTTCCCAGTCTGGTGCAGGTCTACAATTCTTTTCCTGGTGTCCTTCGAAAGCTCTTTGGTCTTGGCCATAGTGGAGTTTGGAGTCTGACTGTTTGAGGCTGTGGACGTGTCTTTTATGCAGATAATGAGTTCAAACAGGTGCCATTAATACAGGTAACGAGTGGAGGACAGAAACGCTTCTTAAAGAAGACGTTACAGGTCTGTGAGAGCCAGAGATTTTCCTTGTTTGAAGTGACCAAATACTTATTTTCCACCCTGATTTACAAATAAATTCTTTAAAAATCCTGCCATGTGAATTCATGGATTTTTTCACATTCTGTCTCTCACAGTTGAAGTGTACCTATGATGTAAATTACTGACCTCTGTCATCATTTTAAGTGGGAGAACTTGCACAATCGGTGGCTGACTAAATACTTTTTTGCCCCACTGTATTTGGAGCCTTTCTTGATTTGTTTTTATCTTTTCTATCTTTTAACTGCAGTCCAACTGATGCCAACTTAGCAACTTTGCCAAATAGAGACTTTTAGTATGAATACCACAAGAAATGTTCCTATTTTGAGGTTTTGAGGTTTGACAATTTGTCTTCGAGGAAAAATGCTTCTGTATGATGCTTGAAAGTGGACGATGATGCATTTTTGTTAATTTAGTGAGTCAAAACTTTTAAAAATTTATTTGTGTTTAGTCCAACTTCTGGATAACTGATCTGCGCTCAACTGCGGCACAGATCTCGATGACGTCACGGTTATGAAACCAGGATCTTGTCAAGGCATACTTGTAATTTTGAAACATCTCATTTTCAGATGACAGAAACAAAAAATATATCTGTGTGCTTTTAATTTGGAGAATTTGGCTGCATTAGGACGCCGTTAAACGAGGAGAGGAAATAAAGCACTCAGATGTGAAGGGTTGGCACAAAGCAAAATGAAAACAACAATGATGTTATGAAAGTGCTAATGAGCATGTGACATAACATAGCAACGTTGAACGTTTCTACTATAGTTTCCTTTCAAAATGGTTTCTACTAAAAATAAAGTCTGTAGAGCCACCTGTGCACTCTACATCATATAAAACTGTGACAGTACGTAAAAGAAAGGGATGTTCATGTGCTGTTTACAGTTAGTGCATATGGTCTCATAAACCCATCCACAAACACACACGACTTAATCAGAAAAAGGTTTCAGGCCACGATGTTTGTCCGCTTTTGATAAGGAGACAGTCCTCTTGGGATATTCTCAGAATTAAACACTGACACGCTTGTTTCAATCCTGAATAAACACAGCTTGTTGTGCCGTTTGAGGCTTTTCCCTTAAAGTCCTCAGAGTAAAAACTGCAAGTAGTCTGAAGTAATAGTCGTGGACAGCTCTCCTGGACGCGCGCTCCTCTCCGACGCCAACTGAGCCTCAGTATTCCTGACAGCTTCTTGATCCGAGTTCAGCCATTGAAGGGGAAAGAAGGGAAAAAAATGTAAACGTTGGCTGGAAAGCCGGTGCTGGAGAGGCTGAAGGACGGGCGGAGTGAGGGCCAACTTGCCCACAGTCACTGCCCGGTAATTGGACAAGGTAAACACTGGCATGATGAGCTATCGCAGAAGGAATGAGATGGAAAGGAGAGGAAAAGGAGCAAATGAGGCCATGGGAGAAAGTGAAAGAGACAGCTCAACAGCCCAGGTGTGACAACTTCTTTGTTTTTTTTCCCAGGAGGGCAATAGACGCAGACATTCGCTACTGTTTCATACCTGTAAAGTCATCTAAGGTGGTCAAAGGTGAGCTGGTATCCTGGTGGGAGCAGGCAGAGCTGTTGAGATGCTGCCTCGCCAAACAATCGCTCAACATGTCCGATTCCAGCATGGTACGAACGTGAGCCTGCCGACGGGACAAAACCAGATGTTCATTAGGATCCTCCTGATATATCATGTGTTTTATGTTGCACGAGGATGAAAATAATTATGCTAAACCTGCAGCTTACTTGTTTTCTACGTGTATTTTGTGTTTTGGACGCGCCTTTCCCATGCAACTGTATTTTTTTAAAAGGGCAAACTTTGATTACACGCTGTAAATCAACAGAAAACGGCCTCTCTTTTCCTCCAGGGGGTTTTCTACCGCTCACTTTTCAAATCAAAGATGCCTGGTTCTTGTTTCGTGTTGCATTCCAGCTTCTTGAGAAACAAAATCCAGAAATCTTGTTAGGCAAGTTATTCCAAAATGTTCAAACAAAGTTATAGCAAGACAATTTACTTTATTATCCACCATTAGCGGAGCATCCCCCGAGGACTTTATGAAAGGTTTTATTGACAGAGGAAGCTCACAGAGGCTGCCAGAGAACCGCATACGTATAATCAGCGAGGAATATTCAGTGTTTATGAAGATACAAGCTTCAACAGCAGGGTCACGTAAGCTTTAAGCAGTTTATGAAGTGTATATTTCAAAGTCTTATTCTGCCCCGGAGGGTTTACTGCAGCGAGGGGTGTGTTGGCTATGTCATAACATCGAAAACACACGCTGTTCTGTTTAAACCAATAATACACAGAAAACTGTGTCACTCATGGTCCATGGACAACAAACAAAACCCAGATAACGCAGAACAATAGGCTCACTATTCTGACTTCCAGGGAGTTTGTGTAATAGTTCTGTTGTTTTCATCCTACTGAATTATAAACATGTTCACGTTTCCCCTCCTGTTAATGCTGAGCTCCATCTTCTTGCCCCAAGAACTCGGTTTTCAAATCTTTTTTTCAGCTTTGAGGTTTTAGACAAATAATGTGTAATTACCTTTAAACAAAATGTGGGTTTTTTAGTGGCTGGGATTCAGAAAATAACATGAAAACATGGTTTTCCTTTTTAGGTTTGTACTGCGAGTTGACATTATTACAGCTGATGTTTTGTTTAGAAAGATTAAATGGTCTATTTTGTTTACGAAGCTGAAATAATTGAATTAATCTGACCTAGTTGTATCAAAAGCTAATTTCAGAACACTTTCAAGGAATTGTTCTACAACCAGGACGTCCTGGTGGCCCAAGGATGAAGTAAAATCAGAGATGTAGATCAGAGTTTTTCAGAAAGTTTTTCAGCTAACCTAATTTATTTAACTAAATCAACTGAAAGTTTTTATTATTTTAAAAATCTTATTTCTAGGAACAGAGTGAGCTCATGAACATGTGCAGAGGGACTTACTCCAAAAAGGACACTGTCTCAATGCTAAAAAGCTTTGAAATCCAGACATTAAAGCAATATTAAAGAGTTTAAAACACGTTAAGCTATTTTCTGCACGTTACCATTACTTGTTCACCAGTTTTTTAAGTACTATAGAAGCTGTTAATCATCTACAGATTAACATCAAGTGAGTTGGAACAGGGAAAAAACTAAATAATGTTGGATAGTGGCACATAAGGATCAGGATTACCTACCCCTGCTGTAAGCTATTGCTTTCAAACTGAGCCATAAAACTTGAGCAGTACTCTGTAGCTTTCCTCTGACCAGAAACTGCACTAAGCAACTTTTGTGATTTGGTTGGCACCCGTGTTGTTTGGCAACAGCTATTAACTGTGCTCGTCGGTCATACAAAGATTAGCAGTTAGCTCTTTCAGTTCACCGACTGTCAATAAAATGCACAAGAAGAAGAGGAAGAAGAATTTACCTTTTTTTGTTGGCATCATGGCGGAGCCTGAAAGTAAGAGTAATGTCTTTGGAGACGAAGCAAAGAGCTAATACCAGAGTGGACACTACACTCTTTTGAAGGAGCTAAAGGAGGCTATGAAATCATGGACTGATGATGACCTGGCTTTGTTGTTACTGGTCTTGTAAAAAATAATAATTTTTTTTTGTCCAACAGTGTGGATTATTTAACTTCCTGGCTTATTTTAGTATCAATTGGCTTGTGTTAGTGCTAGCTTGTTAGCACTAGCAACACCAGACTGAGGTAAGGTTGTGACAGTTGTAGTTCCACTTTCAACCAGCAGGGGGAATGGGAAACATCAGATTTTCTTACAATTTCTGATTTCTAAATACATTTGTTGTTTTTGTGGTGTCCTCTATCTATACCTGCCCAGACAGCTCAGGCGTGTGACGGCTGTAGCTCAATAGCTGTAGCTTTGAAAGTCGACTTAACTCAACACCAAATGAAAGGTCTGACTCTACACAAAAATTACCAATATTTTTCGCCGTCGTCGTCGTCTGCCTCCGCTTATCCGGGTCCAGGTCGCGGACACAAAAATTACAAATATTTTTAGAGACCAGAAATCATGTTTAAAGTCTGTATTTAGACCTTTGATTTGATGTCTAGGGATGTAGTCACAGAGCTGAGTTGGTGGGTAGGTGTGAGGTGGATGCTGTATTCTGACCAACAGAACACCATTGGTGATAATCTGGAAGCATTAACAGAATCAATCCACCTCAGGAGTAGCAACAAAATTAGAATCTGATGCTAACAGGAAAGACAGCCCTGTTTGTATTTGAAGAGTTAGGACGGGCAGGAAGGTGGGGCAAAATTTGTTTTTACCTGGGAAACCTTTTCTGAAAAGACCTTAAAACCATTCATTCGTCATTAGTTACTTCAACACCCTCCAGGCAGGGGTGGCAGCCCCGTAAAAGCATGTTGCTGAGTAAACATATGACAAAATTCCCAAATGAATAATTCTTTGAAAGAAATGACTGTTTTTTAATTAAAAGAAGTTTTTGGCAGTTCTGCTGCACCCTGGCATTTTTCCGTGTCCCAGTGCCTCCTTTTAGTCTCCTCTCCTGACCAGTGAATGTTTAATCGCTACGTACTATTGCTACCCCACACTTGCGGTGTTTCTCATGCAGGTAATCATGGAAACAATCACTTCCTCCTCTCAGCTAAATGTTGAAAGATCTAAGTTGTAGTTACCTTGACCTCCCTGTCCTGCAGGCCTTTGGCAGAATGAGCTTTGACGTGCTTCCGTAGTGAGCTGGGATCCGTGTAGCGCTTGGTGCATCCCGGGATCTGACAGGCGTATGGTTTCTGTAAACAAAACACAACAAGAGGAGCTGAGAAAAGACCAAAGGAATGTAAATAAACCAGACTGTTAAACACATTTATGATTTTACAGTCAATTAGTTATGATGCCGAACAGAAAATAGGTGTAAAAATATCCTACAGCAAGAGTCGAGTGAGATTTCTCTTCAACAGATGTGTGTATAAATTCGTTAATGGAAACATATTTTGTTCCTCGGCTAAAACGATGAATATTTACCTTTCATCTGCAAGCTTGAAGAGAAAAAAAAGAGAATAATTTATAAATACATGTTTTTATATACATGCAAACTGAGCACATTTCTGCACATGACTTCTTTTAGCACAGCCACAGGTTTAATTTGTGATGACAAGGGTTAGGGTTAGTATTTATGTACTCACAAGAGTACTAATGTACTCATAATACTCATTATGAGTATTAATGTACTCATAATGTCAGAGCATAAAGACACATCAAAGGTGTAGACTTGAATGCATTTTGAGACAAATTGCAGGATCTACGTTAGACCCAACAGGATCAATGTTCTTGATTAATAAAAAAAATTGTCATATTTTCTCCCACAGTCTGAGAGTTCAAACAAGTGGAACCAATTTCCTGCAAACAGATTTATTTGAAGGTTTGCATTTGTCATAAAAGCAATCTGCATGCATGCGAAAAACAATGCCAGATGCTTTAACCAGCTGTTCAGAGGGTTGCTACAGAATTTTATGAATTCCCACTAGAACAAGGACTAAATAGGTCCATGTTAGTGTTTTTTTTATTATAAGCAAAATTTTTTATTACATAGCTTAATTTAAATTATCCGAAATATTCTGAAGATTAATGAACAAACCCCTTATTATCTGCCAGTTTGTTCAATCCAAAATGACGGTGTAATTACGTAAACATCAAATGAATTAAGACTAACTGGTTTTAGAAAAAAAAATACTGAAGCCATAAAGGGATATTTTGGTGAGTTTTTAAGTGGCCCTACCTGCATGTGATGTCACTGAAAGTGGATTTTAAAGTAAAAAAAATGTCTGATTTCAGTCATTTAGAGACCGATATATTCAATTATTTTTCTATATCGGCCGAAATTATTTTTAAGAGCCGATGAAAAATTTTTTTAAAAAACAGACACCTGTGTGACCCAACTGCCGCCACTACTAAAGAAAGGACGTGAAGGACTCTGACATGCCATTTTTTAAATGTTTTGAGTTTGTTTTATAAGTTCAATAAATATTAAGAGATTTATTGACTTATTAAAATTTACTTTGCACTCAGTGGTTGTCCAGTTGTCTTTCACAATCAATGTGCTGCTAAAACATATATACATATTATAAACATATTATATATCGGCTCATTCGCTGCCAGCCGTTTCCCGATCGGTAAAGCCCTTCGCTGCCAGCATTTCTCAGCGTTTTTACAGTTTTTTAAGAGTCACAGAACATTGCACGCTAGGATGATGTAGACGACAAAACTACCAAAACAAAGCGGAGACTCACGTCTTACATCAGGAAGAATCCGCGCGTTTCGAGTGTTATCCACTCTTTCATAATCCGCTGTTGAGTTGTGATCGGCAGAAGCTTTTCCGGTTCGCGCCTCACTTTTTTTTTTACATCAGCGGCCCAAAACAATCTCCTAGCACTCCTTAAACTCCTTTAAAAAAACACGTTGTCCTCACCCCCTTCTTCTAGTGATCCCAGTGGACAGGAAATCCTCCAGTTTGCTCCTCCTGAGCAGCAAGTCTACTGTGTATGTGCTTGTGTACATGCAGGAGTGTGAGCTCTCGTTAACGACTCGTTTTTCTGACTAAGAAAATCTGACAGTGTGTGGGCTGAGGGGGGTACTTTCAATCACTGCCTTAGTGCTGCTCTCTTGGTCCGCCAGGTGACGCCTCCTATAGGTGCATTTTTATAATAGGAAGTGTGGGGAAATAAAGTCTCCACCCATGGTGTGACTCACCCTTTAAGAAAAGAGAAGCAACTCATTACACCAATTGGGTTAAATAACTTGTTGCCAGCTGAAAGATAATCCCCCATGCAGTCATTATCCAATAGGAGGCTCCTACCCGTTTGACTAGTTAAATCCAGGTGATGAGTTTGTTTTGGCCAGGCTGTGTATTTTCACTGACAGAGTTTAAGCTATTTAATCAAACTTGAATTTAAATGTCATTGCTGGCCATTGTGTTTTATTATATCCAGCAGTTATTTACATACAGACAGTCCTCCACTGGGCCTCCGTAGCGGCGCCAGATGTGTCTGATTCCTGATTTGTGACGCAACTGAGAAAACCGCCATTAGGCAGCGTGAAACCACAAGAGGGAGAGAATAACTTTCTACTCTTGTTGTAATAACAACAGAGAGCAATACGCAGCTCCATCCCATCCATGTAATAAGAGATGTGATTTGCTGGATTTCAGCTAAATCTTCACTGCTTGTCAGCAGGAGTAAAATAACTGTTGGCTTTGGAGTAAAATCCACAGAAAGTGCTCAGATTTAGCAATTCCACTGAACTAAAGCCATTTATCTGGCAGAAAGAGGAGCACAAGGAGCATTCATTTGATTTTATAGGTTTGTCCTAAATAAAACTATTGTAGGGGCAGCAGTAGCTCTACAGGATGAGCGGGTTGTCCAGTAATCGGAAAGTTGCAGGTTCGATCCCGGCTCCGGACAGAGAATGCTGCTGTTGTGTCCTTGGGCAAGACACTTGACCCACGTTGCCTGCTGGTGGTGGCCGGAGGGACCAGTGGCGCCTGTGCTCTGTCAGTGCGCTCCAGGGCAGCTGTGGCTACATTGTAGCTCATCACCATCAGTGTGTGAATATGTCTACCACTGTAGTGTAAAACGCTTTGGAGTCCTTACTCTGAGGGGCGCTATACAAGTGCGGGTCATTTATTCATTTATCATTTTAAAAACATCATAAATATAAATATTTACTTCCTCACTATGATTTAAAATTTTTATTTTAGAGGGAATTGATGCACTTTTCCCTTTAAACATACTTTATATATTAGTTTATGCTCTCCTGCGCTCCATTGTCTGATAATATTTGTTGAAGGACTTAAATTATTTACTTAATCTGGGTTAAATTCCAACTGCAAAGATGGAAAAAAAAAAACCACAAGCAGGATCCAGAAAAGGTGTTTCTGGTGAGTGCAGGTGTGTTCTGACCGTGTCCAGGTGCGTGCGCTGGTGTTTGGCCCGGTCGCTGGAGTTGCTGAAGGCTTTTAGGCAGCCGGGGTGTTGACAAATGTACGGTTTCTCTCCCGTGTGACTCCTGAGGTGGATCTTCAGGTTCTCCAGACGAGAAAACGCCTTTAAGCAGCCCTCAAACTGACAAGAGATTTACAGAAAGGTACAACAAATTAGACACAAATACAGAAATGTGAATTTAAGCTGTTGAAAGAATTTTATTTTTTTGTATAAATTAGGTTTAAATTAGGTCTGACTTATATTTATAACATCCTGAGACCTAAGCTTTTAAAATCATCTTACTCAGCTTTTGCTTTCCATTGAACCTTCTGGACTACCGTACGTCAGAACACTAAACTTCCTAACCAAGTTTTTGTTCTTTCAAATTAGATGAAGATTTAATATATCCGTCCATCCATCTATTTTCATCCGGAGTCGGGTCGCTGGGGGCAGCAGCCTAGGCAGGAGGCCCAGACTTCCCTCTCCCCAGCCCCTCTCCAGGAGAATCCCAAGGCATTTCCTGGCCAGCTGAGAGACAGTCTCTCCAGCGTGTCCTGGGTCTTACTTTACATCTTCTCCCAGTTGGATGTGCTTGGAAAACCTCACCAGAGAGGCATCCTAACTGGTTTCTCTCGATGTGGAGCCCCTCCCGGATGACCAAGCTTCTAACCCTATCTCTAAGGGAGAGCCCAGCCACCCTGTGGAGAAAACTCATTTCGGCCGCTTGTATCCGCGATCTCATTCTTTTGGTCACCACCCAAAGCTCATGACCATGGGTGAGGGTCGGAACGTAGATCGACCGGTAAATCGAGAGCTGAGCCGGAAGGCGAAGCTCTCTCTTCACCGTGACAGACAGGTACAATGAAGCAGCACTAATTCGCCTGTCAATCTCACGCTGCATCTTTACCTCACCCGTGAACAAGACCCAGAGATGCTTACACTCCTCCACTTGAGGCAGGATCTCATCCCTGACCTGGAGAAGGCATTCTGTCCTTTTCCAATTCAAGACCATGGTCACAGACTTGGATGAGCTGTTTCTCATCCCAGCTGCTTCACACTCCGCTGCGAACCGCTCCAGCGAAAGATCACGTTCTGATAAAGGCAACAGGACCACATAATCTGCAAAAGCACCTGATTCTTAGGTCACCAACGCCTTGGCTGTATCTGTCCAATTTAATGTCAAACAAAAATGACATTTTACATGAAAGATGATGTTTATGGGTTGATTTTATAAAACATCATTAGTGCCACTTTCCCATGTAATAAAGAAAGTGTAAAAAGAAAACTAAACACGGTTTTAAGCTAAGCTGGTCTCCAGTAAAATGCAATAAAGTCCTATTTTCCCATGACATCTGAGCAACAAGACAGCTATAAGAAATGTACTTCTAATTAAAATCATAAAAATCATGTAGCAGTCTTTTCCTAAGCAGCTAGCTGCAACAAACCCACACACACACACTTGGCTGTGGTAGGTTGTGCCTTAGAGTGTTTCTGATGGGCCGAAGCCAGACAGGCAGCAAATATCAGCATCAACAGGGTTTTCTCACACTTCGGCTCATAAAGAAGAACTTTGTAAGGCTACTGAAATTCATGTTGGACTTTTTTCTCAGATCTTACAGGTTTTAAAGATGTTGTGTTGTCATATAAAACCTTTAATTGAAAGATTGACCTTAATGACTTTTCATTTATCTGATTCAGCTTATTTTAAGTGCGACTAAAAGCAGGAAGTGACTTTCATCTAAAATGTTTTTCTTCCAAACATCCAGTCCAAGTTGCAAGTTCGTACTAATGAATCTGTAAATGTCACTGGCCTCATTTAGCTGAATAAATCTGTTCAAAAGAGGAAACTACATCAGTACGATTAATTAATGCCAAGGTCTGAAACCACTTCTACCTAAAATCCTGTCATTTTTCTCTAAAACAGACTAAAATAAAGTTTCTAAACTACTAAAACCATTCTGAAAAATATTTGAAGGACCCCAATGCAGCTACGGCCTTAAATTTTAATTTCAACTTGATGCAACTTTCATCTATAAATCCCAAAGATAATCTGGGATTTATTAGTGAAATACTTTAACCCATGAGAAACAAAGATGTTTCAAAACAAACTGATGACTAACTGTTGCTGTGTGAAAATTATGAGTTGTGCCCTAAAAACTGTGAAACTATAAGTGGTTGAAGTCTAAGGAGCTTTGAAAGAAAAGCGTCTGGACTTCTTTGAGTTGCTTGAAGACGTTTCACCTCTCATCCGAGTGGCTTTTATAAGTGGTTGAAGAAAAAAATCCAGATTTTTATTCCACAGTGTTTTATGTGAGAGATGAAGTATTAGTGAGCTTTGATATAATGAAACTCAATGTGAACTTGAGGGTTCAAACTCTCCTCTAATGGATTTGTGAGAAAACTTTCAGCGTTACAAAAATCAGAGACAAGTGAGTGAAAGAAGACAAAAGCGTTGGCATTTTGATGTATAAATTGTAGATGTGGTAAAAAAGCAGTGGGGGGTATGAAGAGCTTGTTTGCAAAAATGTTTGGAAAGTTGAGAGAGCTCAAAATTGGGAATTTATGACATTATCACAAAATGAAATTTAAACCAAAACTTTATTTATAAACATGAACGATACCAAAAGGCCAGTTCATGTAAGTAAAGTCCAAAATATTTGTTCTACCGTGAGAGATCCAAAAAGGCAGAGTTTTCTGGGATGTTTTGACACAATGCTCTCTGTTTTGTAGTGGAAATTGTTTGCAGATTTTTGCAAAGTTGAACTTGTATGATGTTCATCTACAAAAGGTCACAGCACACTTAATGTTTTAAAAACACACAATTAATATGTGCATTTTTATTTTCTTTTGCACTTGAGGAGGTATAATGGTAAAAACTACACATAGTTAATTTATTATATTTAGAGACTATAGCCAAAACTCCTCACAAAGTAAGCGCGCTACATAAACACACTGAAGCGATCAGGCCCAAAGTGTGTCACATCTATAATGGTCTGGGCGGAAACCGTTCTCCTTTTCTACTAGATTCTCTGTGCTTTGGCGGATCATCAGCACATTCTGAATCTAGTTGGACATGCACATAATGAACATTAACATGGTAAGAATGGCACTAAAGCGTCATAAATTACATCTCAAATGAGGTGGACCTAAAAAGACTTTGGAGACCTGTGTTAACAGCCTGAAGAAACACCTGCTGATGTTACGAGCTGGTAAATAAGGCTGAATCCCAAAAATAAAAAATTTAAACACTGACTGCATTCATGTGAAATATTCATTTTCCATTGCTGCACCGAGGGTGACTTCACTCACATGTTCGATTTATGAAAATGAAATGATGTTACTCAAGTAGCTCAAGCGAGACCAGTGACTAACATTTGGTGTTAATGTTGATCTAATATTAATCTGTTCACAGGCGACTCTCCACAGTAATATATTTATGAGCTGGCAGAAGCCCGGGACACTATAATGAAGTAATTCAGTTAAAAAGGAAGAGTGAGAACTTTTAAATGAATTATTAATCTGAGTGATGGGTTGACGGCAGCAGGGAATAACACAACATTAGTCACTCTGAGGGACGTGCGTTTGGCCCCAAACAGAAGGTCACAGTGGGACAGACATGAAGAGTTAAGCCTTAAAGAGTGACTGATGACAGAAGTGATGAAGGGCGACGCTGCTTTGCGGGCTCAAAGGCCGACGCTGTGATGGTTAAAGCAGAAACATCACAACTGTTTTTTCTAAAACATGATGTGTTCTGCTATAGTCTTCATCGTTGGATGGATTATGAAACGTTAAAATACAGTTTTTCTGCACAAATCTGGTACGTTGGGAGCTGAATGGTGACATGTTGGAGCAGCGATGTTGGATGTGATGACAGCCGGCTATTTGAATGTGGAAATAGTTTAGAAGGCTCTTTTCTTCAACTAACTTTGACATTAGTTCGGTTTGGTTTATAATTTGTGAGCCATATTCAGTTTCAATTGTTGCAGAGGGTCAAGATGACCACTGCAGCTAATCAACCTTACGCACAAGCAGCTAGAACTCCGTCTTGTTTGCAGATACTGAGCTGAGTTTTGGTGTGGTAGCAGCTGAGTCACTCACAACACAAACTCTGAACGGATTAGGCCAGAGTTTGTAAGACTTGACCAAATTTAACTAATTATAAGCTGATCTTAGTTAAGAACTCAGACACAATGATTCTTCTGTTCAGGTCAGAGATGTCCAAACTTTTCAAGACGAGGGACAAAATCATGAAATTAAAACTTCTCACGGGCCACAAATGTTTAATTTAATATTTTTTAAGAATGCAAATGTTATTTTATATTTTTCATTTGTTCTTCCTAAAATAGATACTGGTAAAAATGTGAACATAAAATATTTAAATATATGAATTTATACCAACAGCCTCCTGGACAGACTTAATTCCACAATTCTAACAACACTAGTGAGGGCCACGCAAAATCCCTCAGAGGGCCACAAATGGCCCCCGGGCCGCACATTGGATTCACCTGGTTTAGGTCATTCAAAGTGAGTTTTATTACATTTCAAAAATTGAAATGACATTTTTGCTCTTCTCTTGAAATAAAACCTATAGTTACTGTAAAATGGTTTAACCCTTTGAAGTATGAATTATGAAATCTTCAACCATGATTTTTTTAACAATTTTTTTCATTCATCTTTAGATTTGAATTAAACATATTTCAACAAATATTTTTTGTAACATTTAATGACTTACAAATAATTTATTACATGTCCACCCCAGTGGACAGCGTACATTCCGATCATGAAATATGTTGGCTTGACTTACTGAAGTCCAAATGGAGGGGCTCAAATGCAATAAAATCTTCAACAGCTGTGCTCAATAACAAAAAATAAATAAATAACAATTTTGAGTACCTGTCCACTGTAGTGACCATTATGCATCAATGGGTTAATAATATATTACCCAATTAATGGCTGCTTTGTCATATCACAAAATAAATTAGAGTGAGATAATCATGGTATTATAGGGAAAAACAAAAACGTAAACATTTGTTGTTTCTGTAACCAAATTCTGAGGCTTAATAAATAATTGCTTGCTTGTAGGGCAGAATTCAGACCATTTATTGGTGCTGCAAACATCCAGCTTTTATTTATTTATTTGTTCATTGAACAGAGGCTTGTTTCTCTCTTTGCATACATGAGTAAAGGAAACAAGTGAGCAGAGGAAACAGTTTGATCCTCCCCGAGTGCAACAGGCTGATGATCAGTCTGACCCGTAAACAGGTTCATCCCATTCAGACGCCGGTAAACTGTTGAATGGACCGTTTGAGGCAAAGCAAAAAGGTAAAAGTGATGAGATTTGTTTGAGTGAGAGTTTCCAAGGCTCCTACATGCTCTGGAAGAATCCCTGTTCATGTAAAGCGACTGAAAACTATATTTGTCGCCACTGAAGGAACCAAGATTTGAAAGGAAAGACTTTTCTGGAATAAATTTCTTAAATATATCAAGTTTATATAAGACCTTTGGAAAATACTTCTTAACTAACGCGCATTTAAATAAAAGATGTCCACCAAATTCAGAGAAAAACAACAAAAGCAGGAAAACAGCAAATGTAAAGCTTTATTATATTAAGATTTATAATCATCCATATAAAATTATCATCATCGTTTGTTTTTAGGTTTCAAAAAGTGGTCTCTCTTAACAGGTAATATGAAATGTAATTTTTTTTTTGTTTGAAATAATAGTTTCTCAGTTTTGGACAAATCTTGAACTTGGCATTGTTATTAATCTCAAGCAATGTGGAAGATCTTGTTCAAACTGTAAGCACTCATAAAAAAAGCTCACAGCCACTACAAAATCACATTTTAGCTCTAGAACACAGATAAACTACTGGCCATTTTGGAGTTGGCTAGATAGAAAATTGCTAATGAAATTCTGAGAGGTCTATCCAGAGGCTTATAAGATATTTTGCTAACAGATGAATGTTCACATTAGAGCATAGGTTAAAGATGATGATTTTCAAAGTAAAAGCCTGCATTTTTTACTGGTTATCTTTTCATTTTGTGATCATTTTAAAATAGGTGTTTGCAAACAAAAACCAACCAACTCACCATGCATTTATTGGGTTTTTCTCCAGAATGAACCCTCATGTGGATGAGCAGCTTGTAGCGAGCGTTGAAGGGTTTGTGCCGTCGAACACATCCGGTCCAGAAACATGCAAACTCCTCCCCTTTGCGCTGGTCAATGTGCACCTTCTCAATGTGCCTCACCAGCTCCTCTTGGCTGCTGTAGGAGGCGCTGCAGTCGATCCAATGGCACGACTGCTCCTGCTGGTCTAAGGTGTGTTCCTGTCCTGCAGGTCTGGGACATTGAATGGGGGATTGGTTTCGGTCTGGTGAGTTGTAACCCTGAGGGGCCTGGTCCAGAAGGAAGGGCTCCCCCTGCTGGTGGTTCATTTGAAACGGCTCCCTTTTACACGGCGAGAAATCATCTGGAGGCTCTTGTTTTATAGTGCAGTACTCCTCCTGTAGATTGTGTTGATGCGAAAGGAATGTGTTGTCAGAAGGAGGCAAGCAAGAGGCAGGAAGTAAAGCTGAGGAGGAAGAGGAAAGACATGAAGGTTCGAAAGATGACGGTTTGCTGCAGCTGGTGAGCACATAAGGAACAGGCAAGGAGGGGTGAGGGTAGCAGCTGGTCCTTTTGGTGCTGCTCTTTAGGTCAGAATGAGCTATGGTGACAAAGTCTTCAACAATCTTTTCTACGTGGGGTTCGGCTGTCTTACAGCTGAGGAGAGAGTTGAGGTCACAACCCAGCAAGGTCTTGGGAAGAGAGCACAGCCCTGCAGAATGTAACAAGGGCTGGCAAAGGCCCCCAGAGGAGAGCGGCGCCTGAAGATCACCCGCATCCTCAAACACACTCCCAAAACCAGGTAGAGTCAGCTGCACGTCTGGAGGACCAAGATCAGGGGGCCACATGCCAGCCCCCTCTCCAACCAAGGAACGCTGTAAATAAAATCACTGATCTCCACAGAGTAACCTTTCTAATCCATCGGAGATAAAAGCTTCCAATGGATCCGACTCTCAGATGTGACCGACGACGGATGAGCTGCTGCTGGCTTCTTCTGGAGGTGTAATCGTGGTGGTGCTGGGTCAGTCATCACTTGAACTCTGCGAGAAACAGAAACCAAACCTTACTGATTCACCTTAACTGATAAAATTAATACATCAACCGCAAATATTTTACATCACACCTGAAGACCCTCTGTGGTAAAAGGCTCAAACCTCTGCATTCCAGGTCTAATACAAAGTAGGATTTAAAACCGTACTTTGCAACTTTTTCATATTTTTAAATAATTGTTTGAGCCTGGATGAGCTAAAATGCTTTACTGGGCTACTGAAAAGTCACTAGGCTAGGGAGACATTTCAGCTGCTTTACCAAGATGAACGCACAACGAGGACATAAGTATCAGTTTTGGTTCAACTAAACAGACACAAGATTTGCTAAAAGCAAGCCAAAACTGCCAAGTGTGCCTTTAAATTAGGGAAATAAATAAAAACAAGCAAGTCAGGGGGGAAAAAAGACGTTTTGTTTCATTAATACCAAAAGTGCTGAAGAGGAGGCTGACCTGAGACCAACAACAGGTGTAATCAACACAAACAAGAATCCACAACAGGTGATTAAACTGAGCCGTCTCAAACAAAGATGTATTTTCTGTTAAAAATAGCCCCAGTTATGCAACCCAGATTTGATGCATTGCGTGCACCGTCTGCTAAAGATACACTCATCTAATCCAAAAACAACAACTACAGACCATAAAATGCAATGGTTACAAAAGCACAGATCAGTTATTTTTTTCTTCTGGGCAGATGAGGTTTTAAATAAGGCAAGCTGCTGGTCACAACTCTACATTCCACCAGAGAACTTCAGCAGCCACATAAACTCTGATGGGTCGAGACAAAAACAGTAAATAGGGATGACAATATATGGAAATCTTCATCATGGTATTTTAAATAGTGCAAAAAATATCACAAATGAGGGAGTGTGATTAAAACTAAAATGTTTGATCTTGGTTAGTGAAAGTTTATTCATCATGAGCCCTGCTAGGTATAAAGGTATAAACGTTACCTTCACTCCCCTTTAATAACGACTGCCTGTTCTCTAAGATGCAATTGTTCTGACTTCTGACTCATGCAGGAAAGATACTCACAGCTCAAAACCACTTAAGACAACCCCCAGCTTAAAAAAACAACTTTCCAATGCTCTCTTTAAGGCCACCCTCGCATCAAACAGCCATGTTCTGGTTGGAGGTTGGAGCCTGAAAGCTGCTCCAGATGCGTGTAATCAGGAGTGCACTAATAAACCACATATTTCTGCTAATGCAGCACTAAACCAATGGTCTAAACACAAATACAGTAGCTCTACTAACTGTGAGGAGACTTCCAGTTCTCACCAATCTTCCACATATTGATGATCTAATTTGCAGCAGGCTTCCTGCCACGTGTAGTTAGTCATCGGAAAGCTTCAATGGGAACTTGTGCTGATGAAATCCCACAGATATTTTATGAGGCCGAGCTGAGAAGATGAGTAGGTTCACTTCTGTAGTTATATTAGCTGACGATGGAGTCACTAAGTGTAGGTTCAGGCCCATAGTTTCCTGGTATAGTCTGGTTTACAGTTTTATGATTCTTCCCGTAAAATCGCTGGAGTTCCCCTCTCCAGAGCTGTGTAGCAAAACAGTCATGGGAACTGGGGTTAAATCTTAATTAGAGAGGCTGCGATGTGTCTGTGCCTCAACAAACTCAACAGGATTAATAGCAAAGTGGTTTGGTGTGACTGAAGAATGACAATTGCAACCCACAACCTGCTGGCATTCGGAGCTCAAACCAATATTAGAGCGTAGAAAGGAAACAAACCCATCAAAGACAAATAATCGTTTCATTGTTTGTAATGACATTCAAACGTCCATAAACGTATCAGATATCCAGCTGTCGGTACAGCTGTGTCTGCGCACCAAAACACTTCAGACCTAATCCAGAAAGAAGAATCAGACAGTGAAACTAAGAAAAGTGTCCCACAAAGCCTCAAACTGAGCCAGCGAGCATTATAAAATAGCAGCCTCATCTCATGTGGTGCCTTTTAAAGACTTACTTGCTGAGGTTAGCTAAACACAGCTGTGGCATTTCAAGACAAGCAAATGTGTACTTATGTCAACAAAAAGCACTTTGGTTGTGGAATGACAAAGATTTTTTTTGTGTTTTTTGGTTCAGTTGAAACGTGGGAAAGATTTGCTTATTGAAACAAAGAGCGTGAAGCCACAATTAAAACTACTTTAATTATGAGCTTCATAAATTATCTTCTGTGGTGCTCATAGATGGTTGATGATGCTGGTAATAATCAGTACCGAGAGTCTGCCTTAGTGAAATATCTTTGTGTGCAAATTGTCACTAGCATAAATATGCATGCATTATGTAACAGCATTAAAGTTTAGTAGCAGGACTCCTGCTGTTTTACAGGCTGCAATAATCAATGTTTTCCTGTAAGGCATTAGGTACAGCCAGTAATCACCTAACCCTGCAGCCCTGCAGTATTTTATTGAGAAAATCTAAGTTAAAAACTGATTATTCGTGAAGTTTTAACTGGAAAAGTTCCCCAAACCCCAAATTTGCACAATCTATGAAACACCAAGCCACAGAAAAGTAACCAACAATAAATTACAACAGTTATTAGTTATAATTCTTTTTTCTGATAACTGCAGCCAAAAAAAGCTTCATTATGCAACAGTTTTCCCTTAAAATACCCACTGTTTTAGTACAGGGTAAAAAATAGATTAAATAGAATGATGATAATATTTAAGATTTCAGCAATAACACAAAGATAAACCAAACATTTTACTTTCAGTTATGTTAAGTTAGCATTTAAGACAGGTTTCATGTCAAATTTTCACAGCGATTAAAAATAATTGTTGTACATTTCGGTCAGAATTGATCAAAAGCGTCACTTAACATCCCTTTAAGTGCTTATGTTCTAGCAAGTTTACAGTAAAACTAAATATTGACAAATAAGTTTGGCTTCACCTAAAGCATCAGAATAGGTGTGTGTGTGTGTGTGTGTGTGTGTGTGTGTGTGTGTGTGTGTGTGTGTGTGTGTGTGTGTGTGTGTGTGTGTGTGTGTGTGTGTGTGTGTGTGTGTGTGTGTGTGTGTGTGTGTGTTTAACAGACAAGAGGGACCAGTTTCCCAGTAACGGATCGAGTTGGCAGAAGGGTGAAAGTTTACACTTCCCAGAATCATTGTTGCTGAGTTCTCCACCTTCTAACTTACATTACTCCTGTGTTTATGTGCCAGTGATGCTCTAACAAACCTTCATTTGACCAACTTTTAGGCCACCTCATGTTTGTGTTGTAGAATAAATAAAATTACTAGTGATTTTTTCCAGCAGGATTCTGCTTTACGTTCATACAGCCAACTTCTACATCCTCAAACAGGCGCACTGGAGCTTTCCCCCCCAGAGTACGACTTATAAGGCATTCATTCTTACTAGCGATCACTGCAAATGTATTGAAATTATGAGTATAGTTGACATTTGACACTTTAACACCCGGAAAATGCAAAAGGTCCTTCTAACAATGACAGACTTTGTCAAGAGCTCATCAGGAAATATATTTTTATGTTCTTTTTCAGTTCAGTAAATAAAAACAACTACCGTCACTTTCCATTTGAGGAAACTGTGAAGAAGACATAAAAAGCAGTGTCTGCTCAGTGGTGAGAGACATTACAGTCTACTACACAGACAGCAGACGGTCTATACTACAACCATCACATCAGAGCTTTGAGTGTAAAAATAAGCCCAGCACATTCTGCAAAAACATTTATTCATATCTTTTAGTCGGCTCTGGGATCTTTGAAGTCAATGTCTGCAAAAAAAATGTTCAATAGCGCAAACAAAAAAAATCTTAAATACATCAATGATGTCTGTCAAGAGCTCAAATGGGAAGTAAGAAGCGGAGCTGGAGAAAAACCTGTGGATGGAGCGGCCCTGCCAAGTGGGGTCTGGAGACATTCATGCCACTGATGAGGACCACATGACTGGAAGGTGCCACTTGTTTCTGTATCTGTCTACCGGTCAGACTGCAGCCAAGTCTGCATTAAAAAAAAGGTGCTGAATACATTTTTTCCAGAAGTCCAGAATCTTCCAAGTGAGTGATGGGCTTAATGAAGGGGAGCAGTGTGCAGCAGCAACAGGACCATGACGAACCTCGATGCCGATGCCAACAAAGACACAATCTGTGATTCATGCCTGAACTGAGAAGCTTTCCTCAAAGACGAAGCTCATCCAGGTGACAAAGCTACTGATCTCTGCAGAAAATTAGTTCATGACAGAAAAGGACCCTGTAGGTTTGCATTATTAATGGAGTTTTTCCAAAAACTATATTCATGTTCATGCATTTAGCAGAAGATTTTATCCAAAGTGATTCACAGGTAAACGTGAACATGCATCGAGTAGGAAACCAGGGGAAGAGCATGCCAACTCCATGCAGTCAGGATTCAAACCTGCAACCTCATTGCTGTGAGGCAACAGTGCTTCCAACTGCACCATCATGCAGAGGAAATACTAATATTCTTATGCTCTCATATTTCTTGCAGTTGGTGTGTGTAAACTTACCTTTTGGCATTAATCAGAGCAAAAATCAATAAAAGTGAAGTTTACAGAAAACACATTTATTCCAGATTTTCCTCCTTTTTACAGGGTTTGCAATGCCAAAATGACTCAAATACTCTGAGTTTTGACTCTGTGTGTATGTGTGTGTGTGTGTGTGTGTGTGTGGGGGGGGGGGTGATAAAAACTTTATTCTGCATTTAGTCTTTACTTTTTTTTAAAATGTTCATGTTTTTGGTTAAAGTTTAACCAAATTAGAAATGAGCACAAGCTGAGACGTTAGGTGTTTCACATATTTCCACATCGTTAATTTATGGTTTATTTAATTTTTTCCATCAAATGAAGATCAGAATAAGTAAAACGAATACTCCTTCATATTTTCTAACCCAAGAGAAAAAAAGAAAGTTTTCTGAAATTGATCAAATTTCCTGTTTGACGTTGGACACTGTATGACGTTCAGATTGGATTAAAAATAATAAAATAAAAACAGAACAATGTGACTTTTTATATTCA